GATACGGCGTGCGCGTTCTACAAATCAAGTGTTAGTGTATGCATAGCTCTACAACGGTCCTAATCCTTTAAAAGCCTTGACAATAGCATTCGTAGTGCTAGACAATGAGTATAGTTGTGTATATGTACATATATATATATATATATGTGTGTGTGTGTGTCTAGCGTAACCAGGTACAATAGTCCCCCGCAGGAATATCTAAACAGCATTTGTCGTTTGACGTTTGATCGTAGGCACCTGCATACAGGACATACTCTTCGATCCAGACTCCCAGGTCAATTTGCGCGAGCGCGGACCGCATGCCGTTGAAAGTAGAAGTCATCGTGCCATTCCTGGATAGAGGTCGAATGTTATATTGAAAAGGTCGTACTCAGCGGGGAAGCATGGCTTACTTAATTTCCTGAAAAAAAGTTACAAACTGTTGGTTTTAAAAGCCGAGAAACTCGTACCTAGGCTGTGTAAAGCACGTCACTCCTATACTCAACTTTACTTTGAGACAATTTTCTTCGATGTAGCATAGATATATGATATTGTGCTAGGCGAGACACACCCATACACAAAAAAACAACGACGAATATACACACAGCCTATCGGTACTTACTATATAGCCAGTCACCGACACATACAATGCATGGCGTGTGGTTGTATACATCGGTACACAGCCTATCACAACGGGACAAGACAGACAAGTATATATGGCACACGTGCACACATATGCATATCGCCTCGCACTTGATAGATAGTTACACTCACCGGCGTGCGGATAGAGGCTGCTCCAAAGCCACCTCATCCGGATGGACTGGAAGCTTGTGGATGGCATGAGAGGCGTCAAGAAGGTCTATGTGCATACTCGATCTCCTGGCCACAGACGTAGCTGGGGTTAAAAGAGTGTCCACCGGGGGTTTGGTGGGGGGTAAGTATTGTAGGTATCACATGTTAATTGATCGGTGTACAGAATCGAGAATACGATCCCTTGAGAGTCGACATTCAAAAACAGAAGAAAGAGATCTACAAAATACACAATTAAAACATGAACATGCCAAAATTATGTGATTGATGAGAAAAGTGAGATAAAATTCGCACCGTTGC